GGGAAAGAGCCCCAGGATGAGCTCAGACCAGCTCAGGAATATTTATTCCCTTTCCACATGTCTTTCCCATCAACTCACCCTCTTTTTTGGAACCTTTGTTCTTCTTGTTCTTGACCTTCTCCTTTGGTTTCTCCCCTCGGGTTTCTATCATACACTTGACAGTCTTCTGGGACTTCAGAGACTGCTCAAACGTCTTCATCACCGTGGGAGCTCGGACTTTGCTGCTCTCCTCTGCATCCCTGGGGCAGAGAAACCAGCCCATGAGCTCCAGCTCTACCCCCAGATACCCCAGTTCTACATGGAAATGGGAGAGGAGAACCAGGCTCTGCTACCGAAGGAGGCGCATGAAGTCGTCTTTAAAATCAAAAGTGCCGCTGAGGAGGCCCAGGGCGCCCTTCTGCTGGAACTCATTGCGGTACTTGTCCCTGAACTCCTTGTGAACGTCATCTATCAACTTGTCCACATAGGTGAGAGTCAGGATCTTCTGAAAGCCCACCTGCAAAGCAGCCCAGTCAGAAATCATAGAATAGAATCATGGAACATCTTGGGTGGGAAGGGTCCTCTAGCCCAAACCCCTACAATCAGCAGGCACATCTCACACCAGACCAGGTTGCTCAGAGCCCCATCCAGCCTGACCTTGAACATCTCCAGGGATAGGGCCTCCACCACCTCTCTGGGAAACCTGTTCCAGTGATCCACCACCCTCACATTGAAGAACTTTTTCCTAATGTTCAACCTAAATTCACCCTTCTCTCGCTTGAAAACATCACACCTTGTCCTATCACTGCTCTCTCTGGTGAAAAGTCCCTCCCCAGCTTTCCTGGAGCCCCTTCAGGCACTGGAAGGTGCTCTAAGATCTCCCTGAAGCCTTCTCTTCTCCAGGCTGAACACCCCAGCTCCCTCAGCCTGTCTCCAGAGCAGAGCTGCTCCAGCCTCTGGTCAGTTGATCATTTTCATGGCCTCCTCTGGACACACTCCAACAGGTCCATCTCTTCCATCCCATTTAATTTCATCCAGCTGACAATGGACCTCAACCCTCCCCGTGAAATACAGAACTCTTCAATTTCAGCAGCCTTCAGGCTGTCTTCTCTAGCCTGACCTCCTGATCTTTTCCATAGACTCTCAAAAAGGCAGAAGGAATGAAAATGGCTCAGCCCAGAGTTTCACTTTCAGAAGGGACGGGGATGAAACAGGGGTTCAGTGTTTCGTGGCACTAAAGCCACGTCGGCAAAGAGCTGAAAAGCTTTTTGCTTATCTCTGGGCACCCGGTGAAGGTTGTGGGAATTGGGAGATAAGGTGCAGGGAGAGCCTCAAAACGGCCCCTCAAGTCACAGAGTGACACGTTTCTGGTTTGTTTTGCTTTGTTTTTACATAGATTTGATCAGATTTAGAAGCTTTATGTAGATGCAGCAGCCTGGCCAGTTTCTAAGGTTTCATGACTTGTAACCCCATGGTAGATTATTACAAGAACCTGCTATTGTGGCAACCAGGGGACACCCACGACCCCCCAGCTCCCTCGTGGCAGCTGGGATCACCCCAGGACCCTGCTGGAGCAAGGAATTACCACAGACCCACATCTCCCCCCCTGCTGTGGGGCAGCCCCCCATCTCTGGGGGCCTGCAGGCTCCCCAGGGGTGGGTGGAGGAGCTTGCTCACCACAAACACCAGCTCAAACTGGTTGTCCAGTTTGTACTTGAGCGTGAGGGCTTCATGGGTGAAGGAGTTGTTGCCACCTCGCTCCTGGGGGAGAGGAACCATTGGAAGGGGGGTGCCAGCAATGAGGAGACCCACCCCCTGCCCCACACACACAGATGGCCCCATCCTTACTCCCCCAAAGAGGGTGCTGTCCCTCCAGCCAGGCGGTCCCACCCACATCTCCCCCTT